AACAATATAATAAAAACAGTTATATATATATTTTTTCATAATATCATTATATTTAACTTATAATTTGTTAATAACTTTGCATACCTATTAGTTTTAAAATATTAATACGAATTAAAACTTTAACAAATAAGGCTGGTGTGAACTTCGATCCAGATACAACAGAGGAAGWTATAAAAAGACTTTTGGGATCAAAAGGAGTCCAAATCCCAAACAAAAATAATATGCATATGTACAAAACCAACGATGTAGCTTACATCAGCTCAGGCAAAATCCCAAAGACTTTTGACGCWCGGAAAAAATGGGTACAATGTGACACGATCGGAAGAGTCCGTGACCAAGGACAATGTGGATCGTGTTGGGTGTGTACAAATATCGATTGATCTGTGCCAATATTAGGACATTAATTTCATATGAACTTTTATTCAGGCGGTGTCCACGAGCTCGGCTTTTGCTGACCGTTTGTGTATAGCTACAGAWGGAGATTTCAACGAATTGTTATCAGCCGATGAAATCACTTTCTGCTGTTATACATGTGGCTTTGGGTGCGATGGTGGTTATCCGATAAAAGCATGGAAACAATTCAGTAGACACGGWCTAGTAACCGGAGGAGACTTCGRCWCAGGAGAGGTAGGAGAAGATTGTTAACATAATTTAATATTATATTCGTGTTAAACGTGCATACGTTCTTTTTCAGGGTTGTGAACCATATAGAGTCCCACCTTCTGGAAGTAATAGTTCAAATTCATACAATCACTTTTGCAGGAGAAAGTGTTACGGAGATAACCAAAACATCAGTTACAGCGAAGATCACAGATACAGTATGATTTAATTTTACAATTCATTACATGTGGTTAAATATGTTAATTCATTATTATATTATTATTAAAGCACGTGACTATTACTACTTAWCTTACAATRCCATACAAAAGGACGTTCTGCTTTACGGACCTATTGAAGCATCATTTGAAGTATACGATGATTTTATGATTTACAAGTCAGGTAAACGACTACCAAAAATTTTCTACCCAACGTGTTTCTATTTTTGTTATATTTTTTTTACTAATATTTCAATTTTTCAAGGTGTTTACGTTAAATCAGARAATGCTACAYACTTGGGAGGACATGCCGTGAAGTTGATCGGTTGGGGTGTAGAAGAAGGAATCCCGTATTGGTTGATGATGAACTCGTGGAAC